GGAAGCGCTTATTCCACTGAGCCATCTCCCCGGCCTCTTTTTATTTTTTAAATTATTTTTATTTATTTATTTTTTTTGCAAACTCTTTTTAGTATGCCACTGAATTATATAACTTTGAAGCAAGATTTTGGGTGTAGATCTAGTTATGATGTCTTTGAACTGACTTTTTCTTTGTTTACAGCGAGTCAGAAGGAGCCACTTCCAGGAGTGGAGCAAGTGACTAGACATACTAAATTTGCATATTTTAACTTAAATTTGTAAATTTTAAATTTGTATATGTCGACTTTCAAAAGCCTTTTTTATACAGAATGTTAACAAGGTACAGTAAATATATTTGCTAGGTATTATCTTTTTAGTGTAACATTTCCCTGTAAGCAATGGCAAGTGTTGAAATTTATGTAGCAAATTTCCTTTGAAGGAAAATTTTATGAATTGCTTTTTATGAAGTAATCCAGGAGTACTGTCAAGATCTAATTTTCATTCCATTTCTTCTGAATTTGTATTGTTTCATGCTTCTACTCTTACTGAACTTAAATCAGAGCACCTGAAAACTATGAACAGTTTTGGCTCAATAATGAGACTATTTGGTAACAAAACTGCTTAATGGGTACTCTTACCTGTTAACCTGTTGCTGTCATTTTATTGTTGGTCATTTCAGAAGACTTTTTGAACATCTGGCTAAGATGAAAATATGAAATTATATTATTTTTCATTTTTTTCAAGAGTGTGATATATATTTATGTGTGGGGAGGGGAGGAAATATATTGAAATTCTATGTAGAGTATTTTTAACAAGATGTTTCCCTTAGGTTTGGAAATAAATAGTGGGAAGCTCTCCACAAACTGTTAAAGATAGTACCTTTGTTGTAGGTAGCCCCAGAAGAATTTAAGACCAGCATTGGCCGTGTGAATGCATGTTTGAAAAAGGCTCTCCCAGTCAATGTGAAATGGCTGCTGTGTGGATGTCTCTGCTGCTGCTGCACACTGGGTTGCAGCCTGTGGCCTGTTATTTGTCTCAACAAAAGAGTGAGTACATCCATTTTATTGTATAACAATAATAAGAGCTAATGTTTATCTAACACTATGTGCCCAGAGCTGTTTCAGTGTACTTTATACGCTTTTTAAATTCCTATAGTAACTCCTACTATATAGTAGTTTATTTTAGAGATAAACTCAGGGGCAGAGAGATTAGGTCATTTGTATAACCTTTATCATTTAATGAGTTTCCACCATTTTAAATAAATGCAATGTCAATAGAGTACTTCAGTAAATACAAACACAAGTGAAGTACTTATTTTGTTAAAACCTAAAACGACGACTTAAAACATTTCCAAGTTATATATGGGACGGTATCTGATCTGAAGAAATGCTCAAGAGGGTGAAAGCTATGAAGCTGGACAAAATTCTTTTTTTTTCCATAAATTTATTGATAAACAAATAGCAATGAGACAGTTTCAAATCAAATTGGTAGGACAGTTTCAATAATTAACACATTGCATACATTCTTTTTTTTTTTT